GATTTATAATAACTAATGATTTATTTGTTTTAAATATAACTCATTTGCTTAAGTTAATAAACAGATATCGCCTTGCCAATCCTTGATTGTTTTACAGTTTTTGTGTTTTATATTGCTTTGTCCTTTTCAAAAATTAGTGAGTTAATATATTCTCATTAGTATTGATATATAAATAAACGAACTTTCGAATACATTTCCATGAAACCAATGATACCTTGTTTCAGGAAATAAATATTTAAAACGAGTTAGTTTGGAAACTGGATTAAAATATTTGTTGGGAATGACAGAATATTTATAAATGTACTCATGTGGAAAAATGACATTTTTATAATGTATAGTGTTCATCGGGAAAGACTCTAAAATTTGGATCCGGTCCAGTTTCGCCCGACTGTGACGCAGTTTTTTTTCTGGCTTTTCAATCACCCCGAATAAGAAGAGTGTAATATTATGAAACTCCCTCTAAACTCTTGCCAACTTCCATTATGCGAAAGACAACTATTTATTCCGTCTGTCATAAAAACGTCTTAAATCAATTTTATCACTTGTTTTTCTTGGTTCATTTTCCATAATTTTACACGAATTTGAATACATTTGCGGGAATACATTATTCCACTCTAACATTGCCGCAAATTTTCAACGGGCGCCCACAATTTGCGCAAGCAGAACGTACTTTATAAAACACACTCTGGCGACATTTCACATTCGATTTAATACAATTACAGTCTCACAATGCTTTTACGCCTATGCATATTCATATCTCAGCCGAATCGCTGCTCGCAGCCCTGCAGGATTATTTTAACCACATCTTCACAATACAAGTTACAATAAAAATAGTAATGCGTTTGATGGAATATTAAACGCCAGTTATCAAACCAAAACAGAACTGATATGTAGTATCTCGGAATATTGTAAGTTTTCTTGCAATTTCCATTGTCACTTTTTACCTTTCTTTCGAATGGTTTTACATTAATAAAATGCCTTATAGAGCAATGATGCCATTATAATGTTCCACTACTACCGTTGGAGTGAAATAAGTGAGAATTAAAGTTAAGAGCGTTAAATTACTGGAATCTGACTTATACGAACAACGTTTGATAATCCGAACGCTTTTGTAATCTTCCGTTCGGATTATCGAGGCTGTACTGTAATTTTACTAATGATCAAAACATAAAGGTAGTTTTATTGTCTATACATTCATCTGTACAACGTACATATTATTAAATGATGCATAGTAATTAAAAATATGGCGAATGCGCTGGTTATAAAAATAATATAATAAATATTGGATGTTTTGAAGTTAATTAGAAGGCCAGACAATTGAAAAGAGCACAACGGCTGTCGAGCAATGTACAGGGTGTTAGAAGGTTAGAACTGCGTGCGTAGAATACCATAAAATACAATGTTTATCACTTTTCTGAACTAATTTATGCTAAATTCTAAAAACTAATTAGCGTTGTAATAAATTTGAAATTCGATAAAATTCATATCGAGCAATGTGACAACGGCGCGGCGGATAACACGAGATACTAAGCTGTCCAGCTTTACGCAATTCAGTTGGTATCTGGAATCGGACCGTGTATGAGTGTTTTTTGCGTACCAATATTTCCTTTTCTTGTGGTGTTTTCCAGCGAGTGCGCGAATATTGGATTCGAACAACTTTTTTGTTCATTTATGATTCCTCTATCTCATGCTGGGGTAATGGCAGTCAGACTTCTTACACCCTGTATAACAGTGACGATCACTTTTAGATTCAGTTTGGTGCGGAACTTTTTGGAACTGTATTTATATTTGAATATTTTTCTACAAATTGTCTGCCTGGCTGTCACTTTCATTGACTCGGAGTGTGATATTTCGCTATTTCGTGGAAGTTACCCGGCTTTTTATGTACGTATATCATGTATGCAACACGTTTGTAGGCGTTGCAGACGTGGTTTCAGAAATTAATTTAATTTTACTTGTACTTCGGTGCCAAGCGAGCGCCATTCTTTGTTCACTTCCCTGAAAACTTGTTATATTCAGTGGAGGACATTCACAACACTTTTAAGGATTTTATTGCGCATAACAGCCCGACCTAGATCCCGTTTTTGAAAACCTCTGGGCTTCAAGATAGTGTTGCTTTTATTTTTATTGCAGTTTAATATGAATGAATGGTATTGCGTTGTGTGTTTATTTTAGTTCTCGCTCAAGTGCCGGGAATTGCAATTCATACACTCGTAGCATAAATAATACAGTTTTAGTACCTAAAACCTTCTCCATGACACCTCACGTATTCAGTTTTTTCATTAAATTTATTTCGTTTCTGGTTTTTATCCTTAATTTTGTTATACAGGGTGTCCCTAAAAGACCCACCACCCCCCTGATAACTTCTCAAGATTGAGATAAAAAAAAGTTGTAGCACATCAAGAGACTAATATTCTGGTAACGTTGGTTTGACCTTTTGAAGGTCCTTTGGAGGTCATTCCCTTTTTTCTGTGAATAATTTGACATAAATATTTTAAGCAAAAGATTTTGAATGACAAATTAGATAGTGACCTTGGACTTGACCTTCACTACAAGTTGCAAGGTCAAAGTAAGGTCAACTTAATATCAAATGCAATGCGCTATTTTTTATGCCAGGAACCGATACAGCAGCTAGTTTTACGTCGGAATTTGAGATCAAACGACTTTTCCAGGCTATACCCTTGCAGGTGATTTGAAGGTTAAATTCATTTTGCACAAAAAGTAATTGATATGAAAGTAATAGAATTTAATAGACGTATTCAAAAACTATTAATATGATCTTGATAACAATTTTGAAATTGTTAGGTTGATAATTGAAATTTGATGATCAGTGGCCCTGATATCTAATCAACTGTCATGTCAATTTGAAGGTCACCATCTGATTTGTCAATGAAAATCCTACAAATGGTTGAAATATTTTTATCGAGTTATTCAGAGAACAATAATTATGACCTCTAAATGACCTGTAAGGACATAAAATTTAACGTTTTATCGATTATGGACATAGAAAATAGGATTGTTCCATTTTCAAGTTGGTCTTGGATTTGACCTTGAAACCCTTTTGGGACACCCTGTATAACATCATTACAATTTTTCCTTCTAAATTATGTATTTCCATATCCTTCCTCCAATGTTGTTTACCCACCTGCTAAATTTATATGACTTCTATTTTAATTCAAACAAAGAATATTTCGGAATGCAAGGGAAATATATATCCGCTATTTCCAATAGTAAGATCACGTTCTTCCCTGTCTTTTATTTGGGTTTCTCGCAGTCAGAGATATGGATTTCTATGGAACTTATTAAAAATTATAATATATTCCACAGATTGGAATATCCGAGTTTCCTTGGTAGGAACACACAGAGCGGAAATAGACTTTTAAATCATGTTAACTTCAATATAATTATTTTATGACTCCGTGTAGACTTACCCGAAAATGTGCCCGACAGAATTGGAAACTGCGTTAAATTTCGAAAAATTCGAAAATTAATTTTCCGTCTGTATAAGTTACTTAATTTTCCGTCGCGGAATATACATTGCATGAGCCGTATCCTCTGTATGCCTAGATCGGGCGAAGCTCTACCATATTTAACCCATCTTTCTCTCTAATGATTTAGTTAATTAATAAATTGTCAGAAACTGATACACGGAGCGGGAAACAAGAATCCTATTAAGCGCAGAAAACGTTGTATTATGTATAATCTTGCTGTGCATGGTACTTTGTCTGTGATACAACGCGTCGGATGATCTTGCCGCCACGAATAATAAATCTGTTCTAATTAATAATCGCACATGCATAAAATTACCAGGTTATCAGATTAATTAAAACCGCTTATGCCATTTGGGGGTGGATTAAATTGATTAAAACCTTGTCCATTTCGTACAGGGCGTTACGTTTTAGGATCGCCTACAAATTTCAAAACTTTAATATGAGCAGCTCGTACATGAGAAGGGGCCAGCTTTTTAGGGATGAAGTATTCCGACCATATTTCCTTCATTATTTTAAAAATATTGCGTTCTTTTATGTCTTTTTGGGAGACCCTGTATATATACATGTATATATATGTATATATATGTATATATGTATATATATATATGTATGTATGTATACAGGAGGTTATTCTTGGGTCCAATTTAAGAAAAAAACTTCATATGAATGTTATCCGAACACCCTGTATATATATTTTCACATTATTCATATATTGTTTTATAACAATTCTTTANCTCTAAATTATGCGACGCCGTATAGTTCCTGAACGCCGGAAGTCGAGTACAGATTCATGTAAATACGTTATAATGCCCTAAATGCAATATAAGGATGAAAAGCCGACGAAATAACGTGAACTCTTAAAGAGAAATGAGACGTGACACGGAGAATAAGAAAATTTCAGTCCAGGGCCACCTCACCTTAAGCCCATTCACAGCTGCTTCCTTTGTTTTATTCGGCGAACGTAACACACCGAACCTTATTCGAGAATAGAAAATAATGTTAGTTGTTTTAATTTCGTGGTGCCGTAATTAGAGGCGTGTTTAGTTGCAATGCCGTTTTAATAACAGTTTTGTGAAACAGAATGGACTTTGCGGGCAAACGTCCGTTGTACGTATATAGAACGACCTTTCACAAAACCTCTCGTGAGTTATGTGTGAAACGCGAAAATTTTATTTAAAACAAAGTTGCGGGGAACAGAAGTTAGACGCATGTTAAAATGTAACTTCAGCTAATAACGGCTATTCGGTCTGCTGGACGTTGTATTATCCCTTACAGAGTCCTCACAGCATCCTTACGCCATTGGTCAATTAAGAAATATTATAATTAATAACTAACATTTATAAATGTTTTGAAAGGTTACGTTAAAATTTGAAAATATCGAGCGTTTCCTGTAATTTCTTTTGATGTGGTGCACAAGAAAGTAGTACATTTTGAGTGTATTGGATCGTTTCGCGTTTCTCTATTTGCGTCGCAAAGTTGTCGATTAGTTTACAACAAATGGGTACTTACGGAGTAATTCATCAGGCTCTGCCAGGAAAATTGGATTTCATTAATGTGAGATGGAATCATGACGACAAAGTTGAGAGCGTAGGTATTTACAACTCCTTTATGTACGTAGAACAATTCTGCGTTGATCCCTGGAATAAAGAGAAATTATATACAACTGTATGCACCTGTACACTGGAGGTTTCGTAATTAATCATATTCAGGTCGCTGATTCCAGGAGATACCTGCTGTTTGTGTTTTGGAAGAAATAAATAATCAAATATAAAACTCAAACCCATTGTGGCGTCCCTAATTTTAACGATCTCTATTGTATTTGTATTTTGGAACGACGAGAGAGAAGCTTTACGGCCTCCCGAGCAAATTAGAAGCCTTTATTTTCGCAAATTCGACAATGGAAATGAAATTTCTTTCATTCAAAACTGTGGCGAAAAGTTCTCAAAATTTTATACAGCTCCTGAGCTCGTTATCGAACCATGAAACTGAAATGTATTTGTTTTGACGTTTTATATTTATAATGTAAACTGTAGCAAAATCACTGAATTCAAAATTTTTTCTGTCATCACTGAACTTATATTTTACTTGACATTATGTTTTCAGCAGATTTGTTAAAGAAATTAAATTTTTTTTATTCAAAAGTATGGCGAAAAGTTATCAAAATTTTACGGAGCTAAACTCGTTATCGAACTATGAAACTAAAATATATTTGTTTTGGCGTTTTATATTTATAAAGTTAAATTGAAGTATTTGTTTTTATATTTTTTGAACAATATTTCTATAAATTTCCTACTTTTAAACATGTAAACTGTAGTAAAATCACTGATTCAAAATTTTGTCTGTCATCACTGAACTTATATTTTGCTTGTTTTCACCAGATTTGTTAAGGAAATTAAATTTCTTTTATTCAAAACTGTGGCGAAAAGTTCTCAAAATTTTACGGATCTTTTGAACTCATTATTATTGAACTACGAAACTGAAATATATTTGTTTTAGTGTTTTATATTTATAATGTTAAATTGAGATATTTGTTTTTATATTTTTGAACAATATTTCTATAAATTTCCCACGTTCAAATATTCAAAACTGTAGTAAAATCACTGAACTCAAAATTTTGTCTGTCATCACTGAATTTATATTTTGCTTGACTTTGAACCGAATGAAACTTAAATACAATTTTTATGATACTTAGAACGTAATTTTTTTAATACGTATTTCAACGTTAAGTAATATTTCTATTAATTTCCACTCAAAATTGTAGTAACTCAAATTTTACCGATCTTCTGAATTTATAGCCAAGCTGTGAAACTAAAATACGTGTTTAATGTTTTCTGTTTTTAAAATTTAGTGACTAACATTTCAAAAGTTTTAATGTTTCTAAAAATTTCTTTGATTCAAAACTGTAGTAAAATTCTCAAAATTTTACACAACTTTCGAATTTATTTTCGCACTTTAATACTGAAATACAATTCTTAAGACATAAGAAGTACATTTTTTGGTATTTCGAATTTAGTGATTTAAATATAAATGTTGTAAAAATATGTTTAGTATGTATCATGTTTCGCAGTGTGAAACATTACGTATTCTGCAAGTGTTAACTAAACGTGAAAATTGCGGTTGATTCAACATGGCAAAAGTCTGGACAACAAATTCATATTCATTACTCAAATCGTGAGCGAAATTACCTCCAAACGTGCAAATAGACATCTCAGTGCATAAATTGATTCAGTTTTATTGAAATACCGCAGGAATCAGAGGAAACACGGAGGTAGAAACCCGACGAAGACAACGTTTATTAGACCAAAACAAATATTGGTTTAAACATCTCAGTTTTATTTTGTCCCATAAAAATGATTTTATATGGCTTCGGAATTGCCCCCGACTCAAATATACCGTTAGGGTTGCGGAATTGACTTTAAAACTACAAGTCCAGTTCCGTTTAGCCGTCCAATCTCACAAAATAATAGTACAATATGGGTAACCTGTTTTTCGTTAAAGTTGTATTACTTTGAGGGACTAACAGTGTTATCTAATTAAATTCAAATGAAATTAAAATTTAACCATTATATGTAACTTTTTTCTCAATTTAAGCAAATCTGTTTTAAAATCGATTAATTTATTAATGCAACCATTAGACGAATACGTATCTCGGGGAAGTTCAACAACAGCTTATCTGAAATTTAAATTGAAGCCAAAATTATATGTTAATATTTCAGGTAAACAATCTTGACGTATACTTATCTATTTACAATTTGTTCGTGGATAAGTGAAATTATGTATTCATTAGTGCTGGAAACGAATACGGATATCGTCTGTTGAACAAGGAAACACGACAAAGATCGAGATCGATTTAGACCAGAAAAACGTATATAGTGGATACGTTATTGTCGTGTCATATCGTATTCACTGAAAATATATTTCAGTAATAAATGACAGCACATCGTAATGCCGAGTCTGCTGAAAATCTGTGGTAAATGTTTAAAGAATATTTCCAATAATAATGTAATAGATATATTTCTTTATAAATTTAAAGATTTTAAAAAAATGTTGATAGGCAAATAGCGACTTCGTTGAAAATAACAAAATTGATATTCCGTTTGGCCAAATTGTATCTTACATAGTCTTCATTTGTTAATTATTCATATTCATTCAGAAAAAACTACAACAACGTGGAAAATTTAAGTACAATATACAGTGTATCCTAAAAAGGCTATTTGACCTTGATTTTAAGTTTCAAGGTGAAGCCAAGGTCAACGTGAAAATTTTATTTGAAGCATCATACTTTTTACTTCTGATACGTCTGAGCATGGGGTCAAATTAGTTATGTTTGTCCTTAAAGGTCATTTGTAGGTCAAACTCATTTTTCGAATGTTTTAAATAAAATTTATAGAATTTTAAATGACGAATTTCCAAATTTTATGTCGGAATCCCGAACAATTTTCCAGGATGACCTTGTGGGTCATTTGAAGGTCAAACTCTCACAAAAAATACTGGATATAAAAGTAATAGAATTTAATTTTTCAGCCAAAACTATCAGTATGAATAGGTCACCATCTAATTTGTCATTCAAAATCCAAAAAAATTAGTTTGGAACATTTTTGCGAGCGAGTTATTGAAAGAAATATGAGTTTGACCTTCAAATGACCTGCAAGGCCATACAGGAACAACTGTTTGACCTCATATTCGGACTTAAAATTTAGCACTCTATCCATTGCTAGTATAACCTATCATTTTCTATTTGACCTTGGCATGACCTTGAAACTGAAGGTCAAGGTCAAATCCAACCAGTATATGGTTTCTCAATATCCTACTACTTACACAGTTTACACAGTACACGTACTACAGTCAGTTTAAATCGCAAAAATGTAATAATGTACTTATTACGATAAAGTAATATTAACTTTTAAACAATGCAACATTTTTATTTTTGTTAGTTTTCAAATAGTTTTCTCAATGTAGTACTGGTATTGTAGGTATTATTTTCGTATTATTGTTGGTCTACCGAGTTGAAGTAATGGCGCCAATCGTGCGATATTCTCCGAGCCTGTATTATGGGCCTTATCGGAGTTCCGCTGCCGGGATAAAAATACAGAATGTCTAATAAGTGTAGGGAATAAGGAGCCGAGAGTAAAAAAGCAAACTTCTGGGCCCAGCTAGCCGGGCTCTTCACTCCCCCGCAAAAAGAAAACAAACTTTAAAGTGGATTACAACGCCGTGTTTATTTTTGCCTTAAATATATGAAAATAAATTTAAAGTAAACAAATCAATTACTGGGCTTACGGCGGCAGCTGCGGGTGATTTATTTTTCGGTATTATTTGTAAGGTAATTACGGAATTATTACGAAGTTATGTGGGGAAACACCTGGGCACCCGGAGACAAAAACCTCCCATTTTAAATTATTAAAAGTTTGGCCTCGAGGATTTACCGAACCTCGGAACTGCGCCACGGTTACAAATTTACGACTTATATCGTTTTAACCTAGACATAGTGCCTGCATGAACTCTAAATTTAACATCTTTAAAGCTCCCGCAGTTACTGGTATTAGCGCCATTCCTCCAGGATGGATCCCTTATGAATCGATATTTATTGGCCTATCAGGCAACTTTAAGGCAATTAATAAACGCGCTTAAGTTCCACTCGAACCTCCAACTCAATGAGGCAGCGTTGCGGAGCAAGAAAAACTGAGGCTCATCAATTTTCCTATCATAAACTCAAACTGTTATATTTTTACTCTAATAATGCGATACGTTACACTACATAACATTTTCTACAATAAAACTACGTATTTTGATGTGTGTATAATTAAAACGTTAATCTTTACCTATCACTGTAATTTTACAATGTAATGTTAAATTACAGAAAATGTTAGTAACAATAATATTAAATTACAATACAATTACATTAAATTACAATAATAATTAAATTACAGAAAATTTCGTATTAGTATGTTCCAACTCTAAGATAAACTGAATTCAATCTTCTGAACAAAAATATTTAAACTTAAAGTTACTGTTAATACAATATATTGTAAAATTACAAAAATTGCTAATAAAATACATGTCTGGTGGACCTCACGTTGGTACAGTATCGATATGTAAAATTACATAACAATTTCTGCATACATTGCTGTATGTTTTACAGTGCATATCTTTAACTATTACTGTAATTTTACAATGTAAAATTGTAGGGTCACGTAAAATTACATTCGTATCCTGACACTTAACAAAAATGCTTAAATTTAAAACTTACGGTTATTGTAATATTACAATGTAAAATGTAAAATTACGTAACTCAATACAGTACCCTTCTCAATAAACCTTTTACTGTATTTTGCAGTTCTTATAAAATAAAACTTGGGCTTTAAACTATTACTGTAATTTGACAATTCAAAAATGTAATTTTAAATCACAGTAAAATACATATCAGTCAACTTTCTAGAACAAATTTGAATGATAATTCAATTTCTGTATAATAGCGCAATGTGTAAAATTACATAATTATTTCTATGACGCGTATATCAACAATCTATGTATATTTAACGGCGTATATAGTTAAAACGTAAATCTCTAAGTATTGTTGTAATTTTACAATATAATGTAAAATTATAGCAAATTACATTTCAATGTATTACAACTGAATTCTTTTTTTTAACTAAAAATGTTTAAAATTTACTATTATTGTAATGTAAATTGTGAAATTACATTATTTTGTGGGGTGCATGTTTCAACAAATCTTTTTAAGTATTCTGCAGTGTTTGTGAATAAAATCTTGGACCCTCAACTG